GCAAATGATTCAGTAGCAAAGGAGCAAGCGCTGTGGAAAAATTCAATGACTTCTCAGATATATTCAAGATTCAAATTAGAAGCATTTGTTGTAGTTACTTCTACTCCCCTCATAACAACCAAAAATGTATGGCTTGAATTTATCACTGCTGCTGTCACAGAAGTTACACATTTTATCATTTTGTAAGAGACTATTTACACTGCCAAAGATTTTGATATTAGTACAGTGGTACCTTGGGTTACGTACGCTTCAGGTTACATACGCTTCAGGTTACAGACTCCACTAACCCAGAAATAGTACAGTGGTGCCCCGCAAGACGAATGCCTTGCAAGACGGAAAACCCGCTAGACGAAAGGGTTTTCCGTTTTTGAGTTGCTTCGCAGGACGAATTTCCCTATGGGCTTGCTTCGCAAGACGAAAATGTCTTGCGAGTCTTGAGATTTTTTTTTCACTCCCCCCCCCTTTATCTAATCCGCTAAGCCTTTAATAGCCTTTTAGCAGCTAATCCGCTAAGCCTTTAAGCCTTTAATAGCCGCTAAACCGCTAATAGCGCTAATCCGTTAAGCCGCTAATAGGGTTGCTTCGCAAGACGAAAAAACCGCTAGACGAAGACACTCGCGGAACGGATTAATTTCGTCTTGCGAGGCACCACTGTACCTTGAGTTAAGAACTTTGCTTCAGGATGAGAAGAGAAATCGTGCGGCGGCAGCAGAAGGCCCCATTAGCTAAAGTGGTGCTTCAGGTTAAGAACAGTTTCAGGTTAAGAACGGACCTCCAGAATGAATTAAGTACTTAACTTGAGGTACCACTGTACTGATTTGCGAGTCAAGGGAAAATATGTACGTGTGCTTTATTGCAATACCTTGTAGCTTCTTATTTCGGTCTCTTGTAGAGTCTTGTTCTGTGAATAGATCTACCGTAATTCTGAATGGCAACAAGATGATCCAGAAATCTCTGGAGGCCTAATCACGTGTCCATTAATATCCAGCTGCCTTCCCTAACAGCACATCCGTAAACCTATTTATGCAGAAGTAAGTCCTATTCAATTCAACGAGATCTATTCCACAAAAATGGGGTTAGGATTGCAGCCAAAGAAGCCTCCCTGCTGCTCACATAGAAAATGACAGCAAACCTACCATTGGGCAGGTTGGAATTAATTTGAGATATAATTTCAGATGGGAAAAGCAAATGATCAATTATTTCATTTATTTAATTACTCCATAGAATTTATGCACCACTTAGAACTGTATTGTTGTCCAACTTTCTGCAATGAAGAAATAGGCAGCTTTCTCGTATGGGGATTGAACCTGCACAACCTTGGTATTATCAGCACTATAAAAAAAGGTAAAGGGACCCCTGACCATTAGGTCCAGTTGTGACCGATTCTGGTGTTGCGGCGCTCATTTCGCTTTATTGGCTGAGGGAGCCGGCGTATAGCTTCCGGGTCATGTGGCCAGCATGACTAAGCCGCTTCTGGCAAACCAGAGCAGTGCACAGAAACGCCGTTTACCTTCCTGCCGGAGCAGTACCTATTTCTCTGCTTTATCTACTTGCACCTTGACGTGCTTTCAAACTGCTAGGTTGGCAGGAGCAGGGAGTGAGCAACAGGAGCTCACCCGTCACAGGGATTCGAACTGCCGACCTTCTGATCGGCAAGTCCTAGACTCTGTGGTTTAACCCACAGTGCCACTCGCGTCCCTTATCAGCACCAAGCTCTAACCAATTAGACACTTGATTGAAAAAAAACCAAAAACACCTCAAGATAATTTTACAAAAAGATAAAACAATGAAATCGATAAAAATCACAATATTTAAAAACATACAAAAGTTTTTAAAAACTAAAACATTATTAATACACCACAGATGCAGTAGGTACCATTTGGTTTTCTTGCCTCAGCCACCAAAATGTCTTCGGCCATGTCTGCTCTTGAAGCTGGTTTACACAAGCAAGCCTTTACCTGATTGCTTCTGATGACTCTCTGCCAGACACATCGACTTGTCGTTCAGTGTATTTGTGCTAACGCTGGATGAGGAGGACATTATATCTGTGGTGATTAATCTGTAATGACTTACATGCAAGTGTATGGTGGGGCTTTTTGTGTGTGTATACGATGCTAAGTCTAAGAAGCAAAGAGCAGTCGTGAGGGATCCAGGCTCGAGCTGTTGTACTTGATAATAAATCAGCACCAGTCTTGTGCCTGGTCCAGCAGCTGCCCAAGGATTAGTTGCAGGTGGATTAGGTTGAAATCAGAGTGTCTTGTATGTTTGGAAATAGCGTGTACGTTGGAGTGAACACACAGCTATACAGTGGTACCTCGGGTTAAGAACTTGATTCGTTCTGGAGGTCCGTTCTTAACCTGAAACTGTTCTTAACCTGAGGTATCACTTTAGCTAATGGGGCCTCCCACTGCTGCTGCCGCACCACCGCCACGCAATTTCTGTTCTCATCCTGAAGCAAAGTTCTTAATCCAAGGTACTATTTCTGGGTTAGCAGAGTCTGTAACCTGAAGCGTCTCTAACCCGAGGTACCACTGTATAGATATGGTGTAAATAAACGCTGTGCTATTTTAGGACAGTCCCATTGAATGAATACCGTATAATATCCAGAACACTCTGGGGATTTTGCTAAAGCAAGTTTTGGAAGAAGAGAATGATTTCACAACATGTTTGAACAAACCACTTCGGCTCTGTATAGGGCGTGGCAGAGCTTTAGTTGAAGATTATAGCTGAACACGCTGATTATAGGGCTACAAGTTTTATGCAGTGCCAGCTCTCCAGCTGAACAGTTTGTTACATTGGAATGTGACACATTTTTGTGTCTAGCACCTTTGGATATTCAGTCCCAGAAACACCATCATTTGCTTTGCTTTTTAAAGATTTGGCACATCATGTTCTGTGGCTGCGTTTTGTTTGTAACCCTCTTTTTCTATTCTCCCCCCCCCACCTTAATTTTTTTAAAATATGGGCAAACCTGTCAGTTTCGGTTTCTCAGTTTTCCAGTCAGAAGTCCGTTTCTGCATCAGTTTATTCCTCTTTTTTAAAAATTTCTCACTAAACTTCTGCAATATTTTTTTTTATTGATACAGCAAGAGAGAAAAAAAAGAGAAAACACAGATACAGACACAGGAAAAACAATAAATTTTATTAACAAACAATAAAAATATAAGTTGGTCTATAGGCCCGACCTCCCATCTATTCCTTATTTCAATTTCATATTATTTATTGCCAATACACCCTTTTTCTTAATATATCTTAACTCTTATGTCTAACTTGCAACTATTACTGAAGCTCCTCGAATGCTGCAATATTTCAGTGTTGCATTTCTCCTAACACATACAATTTTGCCTGCAGTTTTGTCCAACATACACATTTATTTTTCCATAATATAATGCGTTTGTGTACATAATTTTCACAAGAATATATGTGTGTTTTAATACGCACTGTCCCCCTTAATATACACATTTTAAAACACATTTGTGGGTTGGAGAACCACATCACAAAATCTGTACCATGTACGAATGCCAAAGGATAATTGTGTTTCTGGTTTGGGCAGTGAGAATTAGATAGGTTTGCTTTGAAATGTGAACTAAATGGAATTTCTCCACCATACTAGACACAGCACAGGAGATTCATGATCATATTTTCTGGTGTCTTTTTAAAAGTTTTGCTGAGAGCAGCCATGAAGGTGGGTCCAGGCCACAGAACGGAGGGAGGACATTTTATTCCTTAGCTCATGCTGTTTCCTGGATGATGATCTGCTTTCTTGAAGCTGCTATTGGCTATGTAGGAGACATCACAAGTACCAGTACTATAGGTGTTAAAACGAATCAGACCAAGGAGAACGAAGCCTCAAAGAATCTCCTACCCCTACGTCAATGTTCCTTAAAATGCTACACAGAAACACTATGACTCTGTTGATTCTAGTTTCTTTGAGTTTCTCATTTCTCCAGTCTTAAATTCAGTTCCCCAAATTTCTGCACCAACCCGCCATCTTCTTTTCTCCTTTTAAAAAAACCTCATGAATGTCCACCAGCATCTTAATGTGAAAGTTTCTCAGTACAGTGGTACCTCAGGTTACATACGCTTCAGGTTACAGACTCTGCTAACCCAGAAATAGTGCTTCAGGTTAAGAACTTTGCTTCAGGGTGAGAACAGAAATCATGCTCTGGCAGCACAGCGGCAGCAGGAGGCCCCATTAGCTAAAGTGGTGCTTCAGGTTAAGAACAGTTTCAGGTTAAGAACAGACCTCCGGAACGAATTAAGTACTTAAGCTGAGGTAACACTGTATGCACATTTTCTTATGCAGCTTTGACTAATGTAAACAAGTTTATAAGCAATTTTACCCCTTTAATGTCTTGCTATTTTCACCAGTACATGTGTTTGTATACACAATGGAAGGAGAATGGCGTTGCAAAATTAAGAGAACTGAAAACTTCAAAAGATAATTGGGTTTTGGTTCACATGCTCGTTGGAAGAAATGCTAATGAGGGTGCTTCTTTGCAAGCAAAATTGAACCCCCCTCCATCCCGAAACGCTACCCAGAATCATTCAGGTTTAAGCAGAGTCCTGCTGATTGACTACCGTTCACCCAAATTACATTTCAGGAATCTTTTAACCACAAACTCTCAAAATGCATGTCACTGACAGCTTATATGATTGTAGAATTATTCCCAAAACGGACCCGGATAAAAATGTGGAATAATTCTTCTAGGCAGCTCTTAATTTGTGTGGTTTGGGATGGTACACATGAGTGTCTCCCTCAGTGCCAGACCTCCTGTGTGAAATTCACCTCAGAGAGGAATCTTCATAAGGTGGCCGCTTCCTGCCGAAGCATGTTACAGCCCTGTGAAGCTTTGTAGTTGGCAAGTTCAGCCTGAATCCATTTTTTTCTATCATGTATAAATTGCCAAGAGGGATGATTAAGAGAGAGAGAGAGAAAGCACAATCGCAAAAGAGGGAGTGGCGTCAGAGTTCAGGTGAGCCGAAACATTCTTGCTGCTCCGCAGTGTCACCAGCAACACCCGTTCTTTTTACTCTGCCTCTTTCAACCTTTTTTCTTTTCTTTCCGCCATTTCCGTGAGTGGACTTTCTGCACAGAGAGGTGAGTGTTGAATATGTACACAGTTTTTTTTAAATTGCCTCTATCTAGGAAGTGCCTTGAATTCTTTGGAACTGAAGCAGGAAGATAAGGAAGAAGGTGGGGTGAAAATTGTAGAAGTTGAACTAACATAGGAGAAACTTGAGCACGTGTAAGATGTCAGTCTCATTTTCAGCCTGAGCTTAGATCTTTCAGTCCCGGGCAGATAAAAAAGTTTTATTAGGTTACTGCAGTTTCCTTGGCTAGTTGCAAGAACATTTGTGACTGTTCCTGCTGCGACAAGATAATGACCCAGAACTGTATCGTTCCTTTGTTTCCTGATGACAGAGAAATTTCTAAACAAATTATTTTTTAAAAAGTCAGGCCTTCTGTTGTCACACAAGAACGATAAGCTTCCTTACCCAGACAACTGTATTGTAGTTTGAATGCACATTTTGTGCACGGCGTGTGTTTCATGATCGGAGATTGCTAGAAGAGACTCTGTTCCGGGCAGAATTTTCCACATGGGTGTGGATCACCCACTCAGCTTTCTTTATGCAGTTAATCAAATGACTAATGCTTGCTCCAGCTAAGAGAATGCTAGAAACAACCTTCGCTTTCAGCCTGGCTGGGTTTACTGCCTTCCGATGTGACTCTATAAATAGGACGCTGCAAATAAATAGCCCATGTGATGATCTCACATTGTTCAACCAAATAGATGTAATATAAAGCTTGAGAGGGTGAGCATAGGAAGCTGGCAATTGGTCCATCTAGGTCAGTATGGTCTACACTGACTGGTAAAGACACCCCAGGATTTCGGAGAGGGCTTTCTTCCAGCCCTACCTGGAGATGTTTTGAATGCAAAGCAGCCACTCTGTTGCTGAGCTGTGGTCCTCGCCCCCCTTGAGGTAGAGGGCAGAGGAGAGGAGGATTCCTGGGCGTGCACCAACGGGGCATGTCCCATATGCCTAGAGTTCCCTTCCCTCTTATCTTTGCTCTTTCCCAAAGAGCTGCTATCACGGGGAGAGGTAGCTGGTGGGAGTCTGAGGCTGAGTGGGACCCATGGATTTTTGGTTGTGTGAGTGTATGGGGGGTGGTGGTTGAAGGAGCTGGGTATCTTAGCCTGGAAAAGAGGAGATGTGATAGCCATCTTCAGATTTCTCAAGGGCTGCCGCACGGAAGAGGGAACAAGCTTGTTTTCTCCTGCTCTGGAGGGTAGGATTCGAAGCAATGGCTTCAAGTTACAAGAAAGGAGATTCCGAATAAACAACAGGAAGAACTTTCTGACAGTCAGAGCTGTTTGACAGTGGAACGGTCTCCCTCCCTTGGGAGGTTGTGGACTCTCCTTCCTTGGAGGTTTTTAAGCAGAGGTTGAATTGCCATCTGTCATGGATGTCTTAGCTGAGGTTCCTGCATTGCAGGGGAACTGGACTCGACCCTTTTTGGGGTGCCTTTCAACTCTAAGATTCTATGATTCTGTGTCTCTGAATTTGAACTTCAGTCACAAGAGAGGGGGGAGAATAACTGCTTTCCTCTTCAACTTTTATTCTCCTTTACTTTTAAAAATGTATCCCTACCCCATACAGAACTCAAAACTAATCTTCTACAGGAACTGCATAGCTGGGCTGCTGCTTTGTATAGCTAAAAGCTGGCAGCAGAGCAGCCTTTTGCCAGTGTGCTGCTTTGGAATGCATCTCCCATAAGCTTGATGGGAGTCATCATCTAACAGCATCTAAAAGCCGCCGGGTTGGCAAAAGTTGTGATGCAGACGTAGACAGCCACCCACCCCCAGATTCGGGTCCTCTTTACATCACGAACTTATTTCTCAACCCAAGAGTCTGTCTGAAAACCTTCACAAAAGGTCTGCTAGATCTTCCACCTTGATATAGTTGGGTTAAGAGATGGAGTGAGTCACCAAGAGTGCTTGCACATGTTCTACCCCACCCTGTCACAGCATCCAACAAGTGGCAGCCAAAACTGTGCCTGTGTCCCTATGTGCTTCACCAGCCATTTGTGGGTTTTCTGAAGGCAAAATTATCCTATTCTCCTTGTTTTCAAGAAGCTCCAGAAATTGTTCAGTTCAGTTACAGTTGATAGCACTATGAACATTTAGGACTCTGATGCCAAGGCATGGGCTTGATGTAGCAGCTTTGCTAAAACTTATCTGGATCTAGCCTTTTTCTGGATGGGAGACCACCAGAGAACCTCATGTATGCTGCTCTGAGCTTTGTTCATGGATGAAAAGCAGGGTATAAGTCCAGGAGCGCTGCCAGAACATAAGAACAGCCATGTTGGATCAGACCAAAGAACCACCTAGTCTAGCACCATTGTCATCACAGTGGCCACCAGATGCCTATGAGAAGCCCACAAATAGGACCGAGATGTCAGGGACTGGGCGGAGGAGGAATGGTGGAGACCACCTCCCCATCCTGACCCTACCAGGGAGGAGGAAGAGGAAGACAGTATAGATTTACAACAGGAATTTGCAGGAGGTCACAGCTCAGAGGTAGATGAGGGGGAAAGTTGGGAAATTATGGGAGAGGATGTAGGCAAAGCTGGAGCAGCAGCTGGCTGACACGTTGTCATTAGAAAGCACTCCAGACCCACCATCTCCCAGAACCCGGCGAGCCTTAAAAGTAGGAGAGCAAAGAGCTTGAAGGCAGAGGTCACTTAGCAGCATCCGTAGAGGAGGTGATGAGGATGATGAATGAGGAAGTGAGAGAGATGGGGGGGGGTGGAGAGTCACTCAAGACAATGCCATTATCCAAGAGGCTGGGTTCTATAGCCTCTCTCTGTAAAGTTTGAAATAAAAAAGGACTGTAAGAAACTTTTCCTTGTCTTTATACTTTCCTGGGCAACCATCCGGGAGCCACTGACAGCATCCTGAGATGAGTAAAACACGACTCTCCACACCTGCAATTCCCAGTAACTAGTATTTAAAGGCCTCCAAAAGCAAGGGGAGAACTTTTTCTTCTCTTCTTTGGCATCACTCATAGTTGAGTAAGATTGTCTTCCATGAACACAGTCTTAACAGTAGGTCTGTAAGTGACTGTGGAGGACAATTCTGGATCAACACGTCCTTCCACAGTGGGGACATAGGTTTCCAGATAAGAGTTGATCGTGGTGAGGGTTTGCCAAATGTGCCTTCCTCTTAGCATGTTTCTCCCTTTCGTCCTGATTTCGAGCGTCTTCAAGGTCCATGATATCTGTGGTAAAGGCTGTTCTCCAGTTGGAGCACTGGCAGTGTTTCCCAGTTGTCGGCGTTTATACTACTTTTTAAAGATTTGCCTTGAGAGAGTCTTTAAACCTCTTTTGTTGACCACCAGCATTATGCTTTCCATTTTTAAGTTTGGAATAGAGTAGTTGCTTTGGAAGACGATAATCAGGCATCTGAACAACATGACCAGTCCAACAAAGTTGATGTTGAAGAATCAATTCTTCGACACTGGTGATCATTGCTTCTTCCAGTACACTGACATTAGTTTGCCTGTCTTCCCAAGTGATATGTAATCCCCCCCCTCCCGGAGACACCATTGATGGAATCTTTTGAGTTGGAGATGTCATTTATAAGTGGTCCACGTTCACAAGCATACAGTAAGGTTGATAGTACAATAGCTTTGTAAGCAAGCATTTTGGTTTCCCTGTGAATGTTCTAGTCCTCAAACACTCTGCACTTCAATTGGGAGAAAGCTGCATTCACAGAGCTCAGTCGATGCTGGATTTTGGCGTCAATGTCAGCCCTTGTGGAAACATAACTGCCCAGGTAGGTGAAGTGATTGACACTTTCCAACATTACACCACTGAGTTGGATCGGTGGTGCTGCAGAGTGGTTGTTTTGTGCTTTTTGGTATAGCACTTTGGTTTTTTGGATGTTGAGTGATAGACCAAGCTTTCTGTAAGCTTCTGCAAAGATACTTAGGATGGTTTGGAGGTCATCCTCTGAGTGTGCACACACTACATTGTCATCAGCATACTGAACCTCTATGATGGAAGTTATGGTAACCTTGCTCTGCTTTCAAAGAGTGCTGCCTTCTCCAGAGTCTTTTGAGGTCTAAGACTTGTGCCCAGTAGTAAGGGCCTAATAGTGTCACTATATGAGTATAATGAATGCATTTAAATGCAAGGTGTTCATATTTTCTCATGGCCTATGCTGGCAAGATCACATGAGAATCCCAGGACCGCACAGGAGAAGGCTGTGGTGTGACTCCTTTCCAAGCCAGTGTAAACCTTTTAAAAAATTTGGTTGATGCTGGCATGGGAAGGGGGGCGGGGAAAGCCACAGGGTTCCTGCATACGGTCCAGAGCTTTTAACATTGCCTTGGTAAAAACAAAGGAAGGGTGCTGAGGCAGATCTACAGTAAAGAGTGCTGGGAGTGTTGGGTGGAGGGTATTGTACAATTTGGAACCCATCAAGGCAAGACCAGCCCACCAGCCATATGAAGGACTTAATAAACCTCTTGCTTTGGTCACTGCCTTCCCGGGGTTGCAAAAAGAGACAGGTTGCCATAGCACCAGGCAATCCACAGTGTGTACCTTGTAGGCTGTGCTCAGCTTTCTGACTTGCAAATGGCGGAGGCCTGCCTCACATCTGTGTTTGATATGAAAGCTGCAAGTCACTGGTTCTCTATCTCTGTCTCTGCAACTGTTACAGGAAATGGTATTAAGTAGATGGTGTTTACTTTGGAGTGTTAAGGAAATTCTGTCTCTGTCCCTTTGTGGCTGCTGTGACATTAAGGTTATAGCATTTTCCAGCTATAAATCCCTGCCCCCCATTTGTTCTGATTGTCAAATAATTTTAAATCCAAACATTTCCCAGAAAATGGATTGGAATCCTTCTGTCACCCTCAGTGTGGTTTAGTGGTCGGAGTGTCAGACTAGATACTTCCCACTCAGCCATCAATCCACTCAGCCCAAAGCAACTGGATCTGGCTATTGGGTGAGTTATTTACCTCACCCAACTGCCTTGGGCCTTTCTGACCAGTGGGCACAGTTGCCCATCTATCAATAACCTGATGACACCATGTTGTCAAGTGAAGGATTTTCCTTTGCCTATGTTAGGGGTGCCCAAACTTTTTTCAAAGAGGGCCAGATTTGATGAAGTGAACATGTGTGAGGGCTGACCTTTTTTTTACAATTTTACCCAAAGTTGTTGAGCTTTTCTTAGGATTGAACTTGATGAGCTTTTTTGAGGATTTGACCCCAATAAGTAAACTGCCACAGGGGCTGGGTTAGGCCCCCAAAATGGACTTTGGACATGCCTAGCCTATGTAGTTTTAAATCAAACCACATGGACAACAACTGAGAGGTTTGCTTGGGGTGCAACCCTTTGACAGTTAAGGTTGATATTATCATGCACTACAACTCCCAATATCCCTGACCATTGGCTATGCTGATTGGGGATGATGGGAATCGGAGCTCAATAACATCAGGAATGCCACAGGTTCCCCGCCCTTGCCACAATATGACCTAATCGCATATTGAGATGTGATGCAACAGATATATGCCACATTTATCTTGCCACATACTACAGTCCAACCGACCACATATTACACACAAATGGAGGATGACTTGTTGCTTCCTAGCATAAGGAAAACTCTTAAGCTGACTTTAAAAAGTTGAGAGCTCCCTATCCTACTACCCGTGTTTTGTTCACCCAGGTATTTGTATAAATATGCACATTTCCTTATTTCATTAATCTTTTTAACAATGCACGTTAACAACCCACGACGTCTTTGGAGGCATCATCAGTGCTTAAACATGAACAATCCGGATTTCTTAAGAAAGCTCCAAACAGAAAGTTTAATAAGGGTAATGTCTCACTTCAAGGATACCGCTATGCCATGGGCAATTGGTTAGATGCTGACTTAACATTTCTCCTCCGTAGGGAAGAAAGAATGTGGTATGAGCTTGTACAGCAGCAGTTTCCTCAACTCATGTTTCAGTTTTTCCTTGACTCCACCCCGCCTGAGATTTCCCAGCGCCTAAGAGCGGGTAGTGATCGTCAGATGTTGCTTCATTGTGAATCAATATTAAAATTGCGCTTCTAGGTCTACTGCAGAGCGTCACTGTTCCCACGGCACAAGTCCTAGCCCTCCTCACACGGCTATTTGCTTCCCATGGGAAGGTTAAGGCTGGGCAAATCTGGTGTACCATTGGAACAAACTGGGCTTTTCTGAATGTAGTTTTCTCCAGCTCTTTTCCTCCTGCTGTTGATCACTCTCTGTTGGCTTCTGACACACTTCTTTGTCTCGTTGGAAAACTGTATGGCTGATTCAGAAGTACAAGTTGTTCCACCGGTGAGGCCTGTAACTCAGTGGTGTTCGCAGGAGAAGTCACTTAAGAATATTCCCCTGCAAAAAGCAGGCACTATGTCAAAATTTACCACATCAGGGCAAATACTTCCAGACCGACATAGAGATGGGTGAATCTGTCAACTTTGGTTTCTCTCAGCTTCTCATTTTTCCAATCTTCTGTTGAGTCCTCCAGATTTCTACATCAGTTTGTAAAAACAACAACAACAGCCCATGTTATTATGAAGATTCATCTGCATTTGAGTGTAATTTTTTCCTAATATAAATGTTTATATGCAATTAGCCTAATAACACAAGCAATTTTCCATAATACAATACCATTTTGTATGTGATTTTCCACTAATATTTGCATTTTGATGGACACTTTACCTCATCATATTCATTTCTGTACACATCAATTGGCTGCAGAGCGACACTGCAAAATTTTGAGAAGTGCAGATTCTGAAGGATAGCTGCATTTCGGTTCTTGTTTTGGAAACTCCAATTTTGGTCCAGCTTCAAATGAGCACTGAACAGAGGTCCCAACTTGTGAGCGAGACTGGGGGAAACGTCGTGTGTGTGATGTCATGTGTGACATGATATCATGGCATTGGGAGGAGCTGGGTTGGGCCCCAAGGAGTTGACGCTCCTGGAACTGTACAAAATTCCTTCTCCATTCCTAGCCCAGCCCTCTTTCTATCATGGTAAGTTTCCATGTGAGTCATAATTTCCACAAGGGAATGCTTTCAAATCACCTTGTCCTAGATGGTGATATGGTAGAGTCACCACATGAGTAATGCACCACCTATGAAAATAGACACTAAGGATACCAAGGATGAGATGGTTAAAGAAGTTATGATAAAGTGGGCTGTTGATTTTGGCTATAATATTGAATATGATAAATGGACTAAACTATGGAACGAAGGGATGAAATTTACAGCATGCTCAACCTGAAGAGAGAATTTGGGAAAAATGATGTACCGGTGGTATATTACCCCGGTCAAATTGGCCAAAATGTATAAATTGAACAATAAAACCTGTTGGAAATGTAAATTAAAAGATGGGGATCTCTACCACATGTGGTGGGATTGCGAAAAGATGAAAAAGTTTTGGGACCTAATATATAATGAATTGAAAAAACCTTTCAAGTACACATTTCCGAAAAAACCGGAAATCTTTTTATTAGGGATAATAGGGAAGGAAGTAAAAAAGGAAGACCATAAATTATTTCAATATGCTACTTCAGCAGCCAGAATACTTGTGGCCCAAAAATGGAAATTACAGGAGACCCCAATGATAATAGAATGGCAGGCCAAATTTTCTGAGTACACAGAATTAGCTAAAATGACATATAGAATTCGAGACCAAAAAGGTACAAAGTTCGAAGAAGAGTGGGGTAAATTTGTGGTATATATAAGAAATAACTAGAAGTTTAAAAACTACGGCAGGGTTAACATAAATCCTGTGATGTGTATAGAAGGTCAATAAGAATCTACAAGAGAAGATATGTTTTAAGAAAACCGACGCAGGGAAGGAAGGAAGTCGCGGTGTGAAGATACGCAATGTACCGTATTTTTCGCCCTATAGGACGCACTTTTTCCCCTCCCAAAATGAAGGGGAAATGTGTGTGCGTCCTATGGGGTGAATGCAGGCTTCAGGAAGCCATCCGCAAGCCTTGGGAGCTCCGCAGGAGTTCCCGTCAGGCTCCCAAAGCTTGCGGATAGCAGCCTGCATCCCGAAGCCTGGGGCGTGCTGCACAGCGCACCCCGGGCTTCGTGCAGATATCGGGCAGCCCCACAAGCTCGGGGGACAGCGGGGAGGCGGAGCGCCGCCATCCCGCTATTCCCCGACCTGGTTTGGAGGCTGGCGGTGGGGAGAAGCCAGCCCCACAAGCTCGGGGGACAGATATCCGCAAGCCTGAGGAGACCGGCGCGACTTCCCGCCGGGCTCCCTAGGCTTGTGGATAGCAGCCTGTTCTGGGGGCTGGGGTCGGGGGAAGCTCGGGCATCCCCCGCCCCAGCCCCGCGCCTGGGGAAAAAATAAATTTCCCCCCTTTATTTCTCCCCAAAAAACTAGGTGCGTCCTATGGGGCGAAAAATACGGTAAATAAGATGACACAAAATGTTGATTGTAAAAGATTGTTTTATTTGTTGTTTGTGGAAAAATTAATAAAAAAGCATTAAAAAAAGAAAATAGACGCTAAGGCCACAATCCAATACTGAATGAAGTGTGTTTTGGCCTGTTGAAATCAATGAAGTTAAGCACCCTTAACTAGGAAGGCAAAACAGCAGTTCTTTATAGGCAGGATTGGCTGGTATGGTCAATGTGTCTTTTCTGTTTCAGAACCACAGCAATGGATGCCCTACAAGTTGCAAACACTGCATTTGCGGTTGACATTTTAAAGAAACTGGCCGAAAAGGACAAAACTGCTAATATTATTTTCGCTCCCCTTTGCACTTCAACTTCACTGGCTCTTGCATACAAAGCTGCCAAGGGTGACACAGCCAGCCAAATGAAACAGGTAGGTTTTCGCTTCCAACTTGGATGTAGAATAACGCAGCACATACATTTAAAGAACATTCAAAGGACATTCCCTCCCCCAAGAATCATGGGAACTGTAGTTTTTCAAAGGGTAGTTCTGTGAGGACTAAACTAGAATTCCAGAATTCTCTCTGTGTGTGCAAAATGTGCTTGTGTGTTATATTTAAAAACGTACATTTCCCCCTTAATAACATGAGACTACACACACACACACACACACACACACACACACACACAAATGGCCTAAGGTTGCACTAGATATTTGCTTGTAAACATATTTGGGGTTAAGGAGGGAGTTTGGAGAACCTAAAAAGTTATCTTAAATATCACCTACCATATTTTTCGCTCTATAAGACGCACCAGACCACAAGACGCACCTAGTTTTTGGAGGAGAAAAACAAGAAAAAAATATATTCTGAATCTCAGAAGCCAGAACAGCAAGAGGGATCGCTGCGCAGTGAAAGCAGCAATCCCTCTTGCTGTTCTGGCTTCTGGGATAGCTGTGCAGCCTGCATTCGCACCATAAGACGCACACACATTTCCCCTTACTTTTTAGGAGGGAAAAAGTGAGTCTTATAGAGCAAAAAATACAGTATGTTGTTGTTGCTGTTTATAGTATTTGTTTTCCTCCTCCTCCACTGCTGTTGTGGCGGCGCCATTTCTTCCTACTGTCCCAGGCAGAGTGAACCCAACCAATCAGGAATCATATGCGATGAGATCATAATGCCCTGTAGCCAGGAGCAAAGCATAAACTTTGCTCTAAATGAGTGTTGGGGAGGGAGCCTTGCTGCAAAGGAGTTCATCTCTATTCTCAATTCCCCTGCAGTTGTTTGCAAAATACAGCTGGTACTTGTAAGTTTCCTCCTAAGTGGCAAATAGCAGCTGGGGGCGGTGTGATTTTCATCAGGAAAATGCAGCACCAGCCTAAGACGTTTTGCCGCCCGAGGCAAAGGGCAACATAATGCCTCCCCCATTCCACCTGCAGAAGTCAGTGAGACAGACAGTGCTGCCAATGGGACAGCATTGTCCCACATACCTGAATGTGGGCTAGCTTAGAGAGCGCAGGGCAGGCTGTGTGATACACACACAAGTTCCTCAGTATCGCTTACCCAAGGCAGCTGCCACACTCTGCCTAATGATAGGGCCAGCCCTGGGAATATAGGTGCTAACTTGAACAAAAAATTTTGGGGGGGCCTCCCCGATTGCTGGACCCTCTCCCCCCTCTACACTTCTGCACACCTTCCTCTGCCACGGACAACTGAGAGCCAGTCTCCCCTTCCCTCCACCAGTCCACTTCTTGCCCCCACCTGCGTGTAAGAAGTTTCTATGCACACTGCATTATGTGTTACAAGATATTTGAAACAATTGTGTTGACAGATCAGTACTTTCAGAAATGCATAATTTAAGCAATGTTAAAATCTAAACTAATTTCTTAACAGGGCCTACATTTAGAAGATGTCAAAGATGTTCCTTTCGGATTCCAAACAATAACAACGGATGCTGCCAAACTTAGTTCTTTTTATCCTCTGAAAATGGTCAAGCGACTCTTTGTAGAAAAATCCCTTAACCCCACTATGGTAAGCTGCTAAGAAATTCTAGCTGTTTCTGTCTGGGTCAACTGGTTGACTATGGTGGTTTAAATCTCACTGTAAATAGTGTTTCTACATGGCGGCATTAATGCAATAATAATAATAATAATAATAATAATAATAATAATAATAATAATACCTGCACTTTATTCAAACACATTCTGTACTTTTTTCTTTGCCAATGATTAATAGGAAAACCTCTGACCTTCCAGCTGAAAATTTATAGTCAATTACCCTTCCAGTTAGATTACATTCCAAATTGTCTCAGTGTCCTTAGCATTCCTTTGAAAATAACGGAGAACAGGGTTGGTTTCATTCTATGTTCCAACATAGTCCTTTCAAGGGGTGAAACTTCCCACCCTTTCTCTCTCTCTCCATTCCATTCCTCTCACACATGCAGTTCCAGTTTGATGTTAAATTTCATGTTATTAATCCAGTTTCTTCCAACCTCACTTTTTATATTATATTTTAACCTTGCACTCTGAGGAGGGTGGCCGAATGATAAATGTAGAAGAAAAACTTGGAAAAAACAACGGTGGGCTCCCCTTCCCCCCACCGTTCTGGCACCGAATGGAACCTTATCTCAATTCCAACCTTTAAATCCTTGTATCCGAGATGTTCTGCAGTCTGTTGTCTCTTCACTTCTACCACAAGCCCAATTAGCAGGATATCCTCTGCTTCCAGGAATGGGATCGTGGGGGTCATGGCAGTCGGAGTTCTCCATGCGCCCACTGCCTTTGCCTGCCTTCGCATTCTGTAGGGAAGCGAGTGCCCAGACCACAGGGCAATCTGTGGGTGAAAGCCCATTCCTCTCCCACCCAGAGAGGAATTCAAAGAATGCATGTCCCCCCATCATTCTTTGTTTATCTCCATCTGTTTCTCCCAGACAAATGAGACCTCCATTCCTGGTGGAAACAGGAAGCCCTTACTTACAGATTTTCAATTCAAATTCCTACCCTTATTGGAGTGCAATTAATAAATGGCCACTAGGCATCCTACCCAGTCCGTGATTTAAGCACAAATATGACAGCTTGTGCTAATCCAAGAATATTTTCGAACTTCGATTGGAGCCTAATTTCCCGCTTTATACTGTAAATCAGCATATGATCCTTGGATGAAAGGCAACCATTTTTTGATGCACAGTTGCTGACACATGGATCCTTTTGGACCTGGAAGAAGGCAAAACGAGGGTGGATCAGGGTGGGTGGGTGTGTAACTGGGCGTAATGGGGGTGGAGTGGGGTAAGAATGGGGGTAGGGCATAAGGGGGTGTAGTGCAGTATGCTTATACACAGTCCACTGACACAAGTGGGGACTGGAAACAGAACTCCTGCATGAAATGGTTGCAGCTTGTATATAAATTTAATACCATAATAAATAAATATATCTTATCTCCTGACTGGGGCTCAGCAGGGCAGAATGGTGTGACAGAGTTACTGTTGCATCCGAAAACATGCTATTTGCTCCAGCCTGCTCAGAAGGAGAGAAAGTGGTTCTTGAATACAGTCCCCCCCCCCGTACCATTTTTTTGTTAAGGGGGATCGCCTTAAGTTGTACGTGCTTATATTGTACACTGGATTAAAATGCATAATGGGTGGAATTCAACTTTGTGCTATTATGGTCTTTCCCTCAGCACAGGCATTACAGCTTGCCACATGGAGCAAGCCTCACTCTCATCAGTGATTGAAAAAAGCTTCACTTCCAGCAGAAGAAAAATGGTTATACAAAATCCACTTTCTTGAAATGGTGTCAGTGCCACTGGGCACATCTGTTAGGAAGTTTGGTTCAGCATTACACATTAGAACTTAACTTGGCTCCTCGTGCCTTTCAGGAGTTTGTAAGTTCTGTGAAAAGACCCTTCCCATCGGAATTGGAACTAGTGGACTTCAAAGAGAAAACAGAAGACACCAGACTGCAAATCAACAAATCTGTTTCTGATCTTACTGATGGTAAGCGTATCTTAACAGAGTGCTCTGTTCAAGATCCTTAAACACAGAAGTGAACTCTCAGAGTGGAGCTTACCATAGGTCAAATTATTAAAATGGCACTTTCCACTTTGCCAGGGATCTTCAGAGAAACTTCTCATACCCTCCAACCTTTCTCCAACAAAAATAGGGACGTCCTGTCCCAGAATGATAATAATATATATATTTTTATTTAAACCCCACCCATCTGACAACGTTGCCCCAGCCATTCTGGGTGGCTTCCAACATATATAAAAACTTAATAAAACATTAAACATTAAAACACTTCACTATACAGAGCTGCTTTCAGATATCTTATAAAGGTTGTAAAGTTACTTATCTGCTCGGCTTGGGGGGTCACATATCATACCCTCCAACATTTCTCCGATGAAAATAGGCATGTTCTAAGGAAAAGTGGGACATTCCAGGGTCAAATCAGAATTTGGGGTGGCTTCTGTAAATCCAGGACTGTACTTTGGAAACAGGGACACTTGGAGGGTCTGACTTCTTTCCCAGCCTGCTTTGCTCCATATTTTATTAAGCCCCAGCAATGGCTCTTTCATTGCCCCATCAACGCACTTCCACCCTGAACTCCTTTTCTCCACAGCATTCAGAAACCCTTGGCAGATTGGAGCTCCTCACACAACTGCACCTCACACCTGGCCCTCTCACGAGGATCTTCTTCCTGTTCCGACCCCTCTGCCTGTTGCTAGCTTGATCCTTCCTTTCCTCTCCATAATATATGAGGGCCAGGTTTGTCCTTTTGCCCTCTTTGATCATTTTAAGCAGCAAAAGCACCCAAAATCTGGCAGGACTGCAAAGAGGAAAAGCTCTCCTCCTGGGTCGCTGTGATAAAATTGCAGTTTAAAGTCCCCTAATACAGTAATCAGGGACGTGGGTGGCACTGTGGTTAAACCACAGAGCCTAGGACTTGACAATCAGAAGGTTGGTGGTTCGAATCCCCACGACGGGGTGAGCTCCCGTTGCTCGGTCCCTGCTCCTGCCAACCTAGCAGTTCGAAAGCACGTCAAAGTGCAAGTAGATAAATAGGTACCACTCCAGTGGGAAGGTAAACGGCGTTTCTGTGCGCTGCTCTGGTTCGCTACAAGTGGCTTAGTCATGCTGGCCACATGACCCGGAAACTGTACACCAGCTCCCTCGGCCAATAAAACGAGATGAGCGCTGCAACCCCAGAGTCGGCCACGACTGGACCTAATGGTCAGGGGTCCCTTTACCTTTACCTAATACAGTAATAGGTCTGGTTGATGGAAGGCCATTGGGTACATCCCAGATGCATGTAAGGAAATTCTGTGAATGCAGAGGCCAAGGATACTATATTGCATAGAAATGTTTTAACTTTTTTTTTTAAAAAGCCAGCAATTCCAATCCTGACTCCATTAGAGTTGAAGTAAAATACCCCAGTAGTTTCAGTGAAGTTGTGTGAGCTGTTAGTACATGTGGCCATCAGTTCATTTAACTCCCAACTGATCTATAACACCTCATGCAGCTGATGAAGTGATCTCTACTTCATGATTGTTTCTTAAGCCGTAATATATTTGTTAAATCCTTAAGGTGCCTCAAGGCTCTGTTGTTGTTGCTGCAACAGACACAGGGCTCATCCAGATGACTATTCATTAAGCATTTGTCCTGATTTGCTTGCACAGAGCTTACATGGAGGTTAGATATCTGTTCTTTATTCTGATTTGTTTGCAGGACAGTTATATGACAATGAGCCTAAATTCTGCATTCAGCTTGTCTTCCCTTCTATCACTTCTTTATCCTGCACTTTTCAATGCATTTTCACCTTCCAAACCATAAAAAAATTCTGATTATTTTAAAAAGTGAATTTGTTGCACTCTGGCAACAAAATGCTCTAATCTACTAATTGCGCAAACCTAAATTTACAATATGCACTTGGATCTCTCTTGTAATATAGTTGACACCCTAACTTAGCTATACCTCAGGATTTTTAAAAAAAGAAATCGAATGAACACTTGGGGCTTGTTAATTTGGAGAAAATGTGAGTATTGGGAGGCATGACACACCTGAATAAAAATATGCATTTTGTGGAGAATGTGGGTAGAAAGAAGTTGTTCTCCATTTTACACAATACTAAAACTCAGGTCACCCAATGAAGCCGATCACTGGAAGGTTCCGGACAGACAAAAGGAAGCACACCTTCCTTTTTACTCCAAAAGAAAACAGATGTTTGATATTAGGTGTGTTTTCGCCATACCTTGTACTGGCAGAGAGTAATTATGCTGTCGACAGGCAACCCTAAGGCTGTTCACTTGGAGCCTTAACCACTGCATGATATTTTTGTATTGAGTGCCCCCATGTGGCAAGAACATAGCAATAACACTCAAACACCCTTTTTGTGGAGGTAAATGAGGTACCTCACCCCTGAGGCCATGTGTGTGCTTGTTTGCAAGCAAACACTGCAGACTAAACTAAATGTGATTTCATTCATCCAATTAGTGATTGCATGAATGGGCTCTTAATTATAAGTGTCAATAGCAGGTGTCCTCTTAGGGCAAAAGTATGAGTGCATGCATATTTTTTCCTAAAAAGGCAATTAACAGTCTGGAAACAGGCTTATTCTCCTTCCCCTAGCTCTGCAATCCTGATCAAGTTTGCGCTCTCTCTCTCTCTCACACACACTTTAAAAAAAAAGAGAGATGGAAGATCTGATTGTGGATCCACCTTCCATAGGCAACATTTTCTGCAAGCAGTCAATTTGCCTGTTTTATGACATGAAGTTGACACTTTAAGAATCTAGTTCAGGGAAAGTCAAGATAGTGTCCTCCAGATGTTGTTGGACTACAACTCCCATCAGCCCCAGCTAGAATGGCCAATGGTCAAGGATGATGGGAGCTGAAGTCCAGCAACATCTGGAAGTCACCACGTTGGTTGTTCCTCATCAATTATTCTGGAAATTGTTGAACTGCAATTATCCTAAAGTGTTAACTTTGGCAGAATGTACCTGTGACCCTGTACCTGTGACATTTGGGGTGTGTGTGAATACTGTTCTAATGAAGTATTATTTCTAATGCATCTGCAGGTAAAATGGAGAACATTTTGATTGAGGGGACTGTCAATGACCAGACAAAGATCCTCTTGATAAATGCTGCCTATTTTGTGACCAACTGGATGAAGAGATTTCCTGAGGCGCAAACTAAGGAATGTCCTTTTAGGATAAACAAGGTATGGAAGAAAGCAGTCCCCCCTTAAAATAATGAGATATCATTTATCAGATAGAACCCGTATTCAAAACAGAAATTAAATATTACACGAAAGTCCCTGACTTCCTTATGAGCTTTTAAAGCAGTCTTTGATTCTATCCACACCACCTAATTCAAGCAGTGCTCTATGGCAAAATGTTCCCTTAGGCACTGTTTCACAGACAGACCAGTATTAAGCATACGGGCAACATGATTAGAAGACATAGAGATATTTATAATGCAGTTAAAGCTGATTGACCATAAGATGACTACTTAGCATGTTGCAGTTGATGGTGTAGCAGAGAGATGTTTTGGGGTCATGCCAATTGAGCCGTAATTTATTTACATAGATACCATGACTAAGTAACCACTTTTCCATCATCCAGTTGGTTAATGATTCTCCACCACCTCTCCTCCCTTCCATTCTGATCCTGGATTCCTGGAAACATAGGAATTAACATACTTGTTTGCATGACAATAACTGACCAGACATTGGGAAGAGCAGGCTGGCAAAATGAGCCATTCAGCAGTGGAACAGGCTGTCTCAGAAGGGGGTGGACTCTTCTTCATTAGAGGTTTTAAAACATAGGGCAGATGGCCCCCCCCATTAGAGATGCTGTACTAGTGGAGTGGCTACATTGTCCCTTCCAACTCTATGATTTGAAAGACAAGTTTTTTGTTCACAAAGCATCACATTGCTTAAAGCTCTGTCAGAAATCCCAGAAAGCCAGTGAGAGGTCTGTGTTCTTTAAAAGCATTTCCACAAACCTTGACTTAAGCTGTACAGTGGTACCTTGGTTTACAACCGTTTTGGATTACAACCACGTCAAACCCTGAAGTTTGTGTTCCTTTTTTTGGATTACATCCAATTATTTTTTTTTGAGGCCCCATTGGCAAAAGCACACCTTAGGTTACAACCTGCTTTGGCTTACAACCAGACCTCTGGAACAGATTATGGTTGTAAACCAAGGTATCACTGCAATCCTAAAGTGTTGGTGGTATAAATTATCGAGGTGGTTCTAACTGCCTCATTTTTTTTATCTTAAGGGACAATGACTTTACCCCCCTTCCCCCTCCCAGTTGGAAGAAGTGGGAGGGAAATGAGAACAAGGGTTTTAGACATATGAAAAGCATATCTAAATTTTATCCCAGTTGGGGGCGGATCAGGATATCCTTTGGATCCCAGCTGCATCCTAGCACACTGCCCTTTTGACCTTACTGACATTGGACTTCCTTCTTCAGCATCAGAAAGGATCACCTGAAATATCCTATAGTCCCCAAGATGCTCTCCTGACCTGCCCCCAACCCAGAATACAATTTATATATTGAATTGAGCGTTTCTCCATCTCTCCCCTTGTTTCCAATGTGAGAAGGAAAGGGCTAAAAAATTAATGCCCCCCCCCCGGCTGGAAATGAATGAAATAATGCAGACAGTCCCTTCATCCTCAGTTGTGCCATGCTGGTGAGAAACTGGCAGGGCATTTGAAGGTGACCCAGAAACTACAACTAATCCAGAATGCGGCAGCTAGATTGGTGACTGGGGGTGGCTGCCGAGACCACATAACACCTGTCTTGAAAGACCTACATTGGTTCCCATTACGTTTCCAAGCACAATTCAAAGTGTTGGTGCTGGCCTGTAAAGCCCTAAATGGCCTCGGCCCAGTATACCTGAAGGAGCGTCTCCACCCCCATCGTTCTGCCCGGATGCTGAGGTCCAGCACCAAGGGCCTTCTGGTGGTTCCCTCACTGCGAGAAGCAAAGCTACAGGGAACCAGGCAGAGGGCCTACTCGGTAGTGGTGCCCACCCTGTGGAATGCCCTCCCATCAGATGTCAAAGAGATAAACAACTACCTAACATTTAGAAGACACCTGAAGTTTTTAATGTGTGACATTTTAATGTATTTTTCATCTTTGTTGGAAGCCGCCCAGAGTGGCTGGGGAAACCCAGCCAGATGGGCGGGGTACAAATAATAAATAAATAAATAAATAAATAAATAAAAACAACAACAACAACAACAACAACAACAACTATTATTACTGGGTGAGAGAGTTCGACAGCCATCATAATTCCCACCACCTTATGACTGCCCCCTAGGCCCCCTATGGTTTAGGATTGCACCATTAAAGGGTTGTCTCATATGCATTCACATAGTTGAGCAGTAATACATTTTATCTAGTGGTAAACCTTGCCTGGAAACTGTCTGAGAACTCATTCTCCAGGCACATTTCTAATGCAGGAAGGCGAATGTGAGCATGCTCAACGGGGATCCCCATTGTGGGATCATCCACAATGAGCGTTCAAGCAAATTCGTTTTAATTTTTTGTTCATTCTTAACAGACGGAAACCAAGCCGGTGCAGATGATGAACCTGGAAGCTACGTTTTGCCTCGGTTATGTAAACGATTTAAAAGTCAAGATTCTGGAGCTGCCCTGTCATAACAAGCACATGAGCATGCTTATCTTGCTGCCCAAAGACATTGAGGATGATACCACTGGACTCGAACAGGTAGAAAACCCATTTGAAAGCCCTCTTTGATAGCTCAAGTAAGATCTACACGTTGGTCACCCTCATCCTTAAATGCATCATAATGGTCCATTGAGAAGGGAGCAAATACATATGTCTCCAAATTGCCCTGGGTCAGGATGCCCAGAGTCATCCAGAACTGTCAGGGTTTGGAGTATTGGGCAGGAAAGCTACAGGGGTCTGCTTCACCAGTGTGTTCCCTGCAGGGAAACCACTCGTTCCTGATATGCTTCATTAGGGTTTTAAAATCTCCAATTAAATATTAGGGTGACAACTTGAATAAAATATTTTGGGGAGGGCAGATAAGCCCCGTCCTGCATAATCGATCACATGATGCGGTGCACGCATACCATTTGAATGGCATTGTCCATCAACTTTGGGGGGCAGCCCCCTCAAATATTTTATTGGGAGGGTGAAGAAGAAGAAGAGTTTGGATTCGATATCCTGCTTTATCACTACCCGAAGGAGTCTCAAAGTGGCTAACATTCTCCTTTCCCTCCCTCCCCCACAACAAACACTCTGTGAGGTGAGTGAGGCTGAGAGACTTCAAAGAAGTGTGACTGGCCCAAAGTCACCCAGCAGCTGCATGTGGAGGAGCGGAGACGTGAACCCAATTCCCCAGATTATGAGTCTACTGCTCTTAACCACTACACCACACTGGCTCTCTAGGGAGTTGGCTCCTGTGGTGGGTGGTCCCTGGGTTGGCCCACTACACAGGAAGTGGGGCCATGCGCATCTCTGGTAACTAGTGTTATTCTTTTAGTGATGCTAAAATGTTGCACCAATGCAACAGGTGACAATTGCCATCTCAAAGCGTAACAGAGATTGTTCACAGGGACAGAAAGGTATGTGGCCAGCATTGCTCAGACCTGCTTAACTTGTGGCTTACCAAGCCAAATGAACCCCTTCTGAATATTGTGCCTTTCCAGGTGTTTGACAACCCCGCTCTTTTTGCAGCCCCAACCAGCCAGCCATACCAGGTTTCCTGAACCTCCCATAAATGGCTGATGGGCTGCATCCAACTTTGGAAGCCACAAGTTGTACAAGTCTGCCATAGACTTTGATGGCCATCTGTCATGGATGCTTGAGCTGAGATTCCTGCATGAGATTCCTTTGGGTCCCTTCCAACTCTTATGATTCTATGATTCTAACCATATCCTAATTGCTTGGGGGTTGTGCCGGGTGGACAGCATTGCAAGACAGATTTATGTTTGTACTCTTGCATAAGAAACTGCTGTAGCATCGTTGCACGTGGTTTCAGCTATGTATCTGTAAGACATTAGACAGCTCTGTTGCAGTTTATTGTGGCAACTAATGGGCTGGCTGGCTAACAGAGCACTGTGACCACTGATACTCTAATTCATTTGCTGTCTTGTCTTATGTCTTTAGCTTGAGAAGGAACTCACCCCCGAGAAGCTAATACAATGGACAAATCCAAGTGTGATGGCAAACACGAAAGTCAACGTGTTTCTTCCCAAATTCAAAGTGAATGGGGAATATGATTTCAAGCCAATTTTAGAAAGTCTTGGCATGACCAACATGTTTGATGAGAGTGCGTCAGATTTTTCTGAAATGTCAGAGACCAAAGGGGTAGTTTTGTCTCAGGTCATCCACAAAGTCTCTCTGGAAGTCATTGAAGAAGGGGCAGAGTCCCTAGACGTACCAGGGTACCGGATCCTGCAACACAAAGATGAATTTAAGGCCGATCATCCATTTTTCTTCTTCTTCCGGCACACCAAAACTCGCAATATTGTTTTTGCTGGCAGATTCTGTTCTCCTTAAATGGAAAAAAGCAATTAACCAGAAGCCTGATTTATATATTTCTATCACAACAATTTTTTTGCAAACCTTTGAAAGCTGAGTATGAAGTATTGAAAAGGTAATCTAAGTGGTTTCATATTTTGAGTAGGCTGTACAACTTACTTTCTACATGAAGTTATTACTCAAAGCAGAATTGACAATATGCACTTTCCAGAGGCAGCAATTAACATAGCATGTAACTTTGTATTATGTCTCCAAAATAATGTGGCTCATTTCTTACTCATCTACAGTAATTAATTACTTTTCTGGAATTTTGGGCCTTGGGAAATACTTGTAGCATCTCCTCAGATGTAAAAAAACCAACAACCTCTGGAAGTAAAATACCAGTATGTTACTGGAATCATTGACATCTTAAGTTTATATGGCCTTTGATTTGATGCTGTTTTCTGCCTGTGGGGAAAGAATTGTTCTAAAATTGAAATCCAGTTATTATTGTGGGATTGAACCAAATTCAAGTTGAATACAGTAAAAATGTAAGTTTTCATCTTTTGTTAACTCCCTTCCTGCTACCTGTGTTTGGTCATCAAGATTACCTTAAATCATTCCAAATAAAGCATTGCAGAAACTGAGTGTCTTCTCTTATTGCCAAAGATAAATGGTTTATGTAGGAATAAGTGTCGACCTTCACCTAGGGCCCAGCCCTACCATTAGGCAGAGGGAGGGAGGTGTCTCAGCAGTGATGGGTAGACAGAGTTGTGTGTGCCATTCAGTCTATGCTGCACCCTATTCTTACCTTTTGCCCTCAGGAACAGTGGAGGGTGTTGAAATGCAATTCAGCTGCCAGCTTGGTCAGCTTTTGTACATGGCATGGGGAGGAGTGGCCATCTTGTATTTTGCCTCAGGCAGCAAAATTTATTTGGCTTGCCCTGCCTTTACCTCATAAATTCTGGCCTCAGATACCAGGAGAGAAGGGAATTTAATCAGCAACACCGTTTGTTATATAGGAAATGAAAACTGAGGTCCAAAATCTTGTTTTTAATGGAGAATATCAAATGTATGTTATTCCCACTGTGTTCCATGAGGTTTACACCAAGGTACTGGCTAGGGATCCAATTAGATCTCATATAACTGCTGTTTTAAGACAGCTGCACTGGTTGCCAGTTGATTTCTGGGCTTAATCCAGATACCCACATTAGTGTTTAGGGTCCTAAATGACTCAGGTCCAAAATATCTGAAAGACCACCTCCTTCCCCACAGACCCTCTTAGGTGTTGGGATTGACAGAGAGGGGCACTCTTAGTGCCCCTCTTAGCACTCCTCTGCCCTCAGAGGCTTGGGGGTGGCAGCAGCCCAGGAGAGGGCATTTTCTTTGGCAGCCCCTAAGCCAGGGGTCAGCAACATTTTTCAGCCATGGGCTGGTCCTCTGTCCCTCAGATCTTGTGGGGGGGGGGGCCGACCTATATTTTTTTCTGGGGGAAATGAACGAATTCCTATGTCCCACAAATAACCCAGAGATGCATTTTAAATAAAAGGACACATTCTACTCATGTTAAAAACACGTTGATTCGCAGACCATCCATGGGCCAGATTTAGAAGGCGATTGGGCCGGATCCGGCCCCCGGGCCTTAGGTTGCCTACCCCTGCCCTAAGCTATGGAACTGCCTCTCCACAAGGTGTGTCTGGCACCTTCATTATACAGCTTCCAGAGAATGTGGAAGATACACCTCTTTACTCTGGCTTTTGACACTTGAAGTGTATATTTTTAGAATATCTATCTATCTATCTATCTATCTATCTATCTATCTATCTATCATCTATCTATCTGTTATTAATACGTTTTAGTGTTGTAACTCACCCTGGGACCTTGGGGTGAAAAGCAGGCAATAAATAAATGAATATAATTTCAACTCAAACTCAGTTAACTTTGCAGTGGAGTCGGTTTATGTATTCAAGTCTTCAAGTGATGAGAAATCAAGTGCTGTACATACATGTGTGAACCACACCCTAGAGAGAGAAGAAGGTTGCTCTTAGAAACTGAAGTCTACACAAGTTTTCTGGTCTCTCAGTTCATGGGGCTGGTACATACATGAATAAGCCTCCCTATGGCTCCAAACTACTGCAGACTCAACCCTTTCAGGTGAGTCAGCAGTGAATCATTAAATTGTAAGGAACGTTACGTGTACATGTGAACTACTAAGTTGCACTCCAAGCATATACTTTTCCACACCCTTCCAGTTTGAATAGCTAGGCTTTTGAGTTTCTCAGCAACTCACCTCATCTCAGGGAAAGATCACAAGTTGCAGCAGGTCAGAGCCTGCATAGTATCTCTATGGAGAAATCGCATAGCAACGCCCACATGACAAGAAGGAGGAGGAAATAATTCTGCTCAGAGAATTATTGTGCACCCATACAGTGAAGCAAGCACTAAATCCGAACTGCAAACCAAAACAGAAGGCAGCAACTATAACTATAACAGTGAAGTTCTGCTATTTTACTATGGGGCCACTGTAGTGGTGATAATAAATGCCTTTTTAGCTACCTTGTCTATTGTCATTAAACTGTTTCCTTTTCTTTAAAAAATCTTATATCTAAACTGTTCATTCTGACTTTGATTTTGGGTATTATACAAAGAGGTAAAGGTAAAGGGACCCCTGACCATTAGGTCCAGTCGTGACCGACTCTGGGGTTGCGGCGCTCATCTCGCTTTATTGGCCGAGGGAGCCGGCGTACAGCTTCTGGGTCATGTGGCCAGCATGACTAAGCCCCTTCTTGCGAACCAGAGCAGCGCATGGAAACGCTGTTTACCTTCCCACCAGAGCGGTACCTATTTATCTACTTGTACTTTGACGTGCTTTCGAACTGCTAGGTGGGCAGGAGCAGGGACCGAGCAACGGGAGCTCACCCCGTCATGGGGATTCGAACCCCCAACCTTCTGATTGTCAAGTCCTAGGCTCTGTGGTTTAACCCACAGCACCACCCGCGTCCCAACATACAAAGAGGTATTACCAATTAAAGCAGCCTTGTATTTAAAAACTAAGATGGTAGTCACAGGCAACAACAAATTGCATGCAGATGAGTGAGGGAAGCAAGTGAGGAAACTTGTGGAGGAGGATATTGGGTACCACACCCCTTATTGAAGCTCAGCATAAGGAGGGACAGAATTACCAGCAGTCTGGTAATTTTTCTGCAGGCTACTCACTTTCCTAAGCTTATTTACGCGTCTGAATTAAACAGTTCCATTTCAAGTGAGAACAGCCCCAACATCCATATTACAACAATACTTTTATTAGGCCAATCCTATCATTGGAGTTCTACAGAACTCTTCATCAGACTAGATAACAACAATAATAAAAATTATGTTACGGGGATGGTGACAAGGTACAAAATTTGGCTGGGGATAACTCCATGATTCTGCATCTGGTGAGAGCTTAAAGGCAGAATGTGGGAGGAGACAGCAGACATTCAGATAAGACTCTTAGCTGCTATGAGGGTATGAGATTGCACCAAGAGCTGCTTGGTTGGAATCAAATAATAATTATCAAAATAAATGTATTTATTTTTATTCAGTATCGGAATGAAAGAGCACATGATGTGTCGCCTTGTAATGTATTGACTTTAATTCTCTATCAAAGTGCGTTTTTCAAATCTGCTGTATCCCCTCTTTTCTTTATCAACTTTCTATTTATTTTTTTATCTTGTGTTTAGTATTCATTTTGCTTACTATTATTAAATCACACACAAACATAAAATTTATATCCCACTCTGGGCAGCTTCCAAAACATATAAAAACAATAAAAGTCAAACATTGAAACATCCCAGTACAGGGCTGTCTTCTAAAAGTTGTGTAGTTCTTTATCATCTTGACATCTGTGTGTGTGTACATGCATACGCACACATGTACATACACATATGAGCCAGTGGGAGAATTACTCTAGGCAATGGAACATTAAACGAATCCTGCTCATTCCTTTCATTCATATAACTTGATATAATTTGTATTGGCAGACTCCTGCTTCTCTGCTTTGAGTACATTTGGATGAGTGTGGTAATTTTGTGTGATAAAAAAGCTGAGACAAATGTCATTTGTTGCAGCAGATTTGGATAGTTTGAGAAGAAAGAGAGTTCTCCTAAAATATACAGCTTTCTGTGTAATCAAATCTAAATATGAGAAAATATAATCAGTGCGGGAAGACCAGAAGTCGGGAATGATCATGAAGTCATGTGGAATATTTATTAGTGGGCGTGACCACACCTTAAATATTCCAGTTCCTCCAGAAAGCCGGAGACAGAGGAAGAGAATACTGAGTATATACTGATCTCTTGACTCCCGAAGACAAGGAGGTAAATATATGTTTAAATAACATTATTGTTTAAATAACAATATGCCTAAAGGTTGATTTCGCAAGGCATCTCGTTTACAACAGATTAGGGGTTGTAAATGAAGCCCAAATTTGTAATTTGTGGGTTTGCAAATGAAATGTCAGCTTATACCTTCAGTTCATTATACAATACAAATTCAGGCTAATTTGTTAAAATCAAGGTGTTCACATGCCTACAGCCATGGGGCCAAACTAGGCATGATGCTAATTGGGTGAATACAATTAACTATCATATATATATATATTTAAAAAACACAGCAGCCATAGGGGTGGGCAGAGCAGCAGTAGAACTCCAGGGGGTGGGGAGGGAAAGTTTAACTATTTCTCCCCTGATGTGGTCCAGATGAAAAGCCCCCCCCACCTCCTGAACATGATATGTAAATTAGGAAGGAAACTTGGTGCTGCAACTGATACCCCATCTAGTTTACAGCACAAAACTAGCACCAAACTTTGGCATCAGTTTGGGGGAATCTAGAATTCTGGGTTCATGCGTTAATGAAGCTGGCAACAATCCCTACTCTCAGGTACTAACTTTTGAAACACTGAAAACAAGCATGGATTACAAGACTTCACATGATATTTAAGTCTTGTACATTTTGACATTGTGATGCATAGATAGGATAAAAAGATTAAAACCAACATGCACTTTTCAAGTTGTGAACTGCCTTGAGATCTATGGGTGTAGGGCAGTATACAAATTATTATTATTATTGTGGTGATTGTTGTTATGCTTGAGGACTACTTTTGAAAAGCTGTAGCATGGCCTTTCAGCCTGTCTTATTTGTTTTAATTGCTATGTAAATGTGGTCCCGACTACATTATGTCCTGCCTGGTACCAATCCTACTTTCCTCTACGATGTCACCAAAAGTTTCTTATGAATCTTACAGCTTTTTGCATTCTGCTTTTTGCGTTGCTGACTAAACTTCCAGTTGCACATATCCTTTGAATATAAAGTGAACAATTGAGTAATAGGCTTGGAAAGGTGTTCCTCAAGAGATCTTTTCAATATCCAAATCTGAGAGGAAAAATGGTCTGTGGGGAAAAAAACTTTCCGCTTGGGTGTGTGCCTTTCCAGTCATATATCTGCTGCAGAACTAAACCCGTTCCATGAAGTCATGTTTTCTTAACTTGAGCAATCAATCATTTACCTAACTATTTATTGATTTTCTCTCTATCTCTCTCTCCCTCCCACTCTTCACCTGCTAGTCATCATGGATCTGTATTTCACGAAGGACCCCCTTCCTACAGCAATTATTGCTTTTGGTCTGGATCTTTACAAGAAGCTGAACAGAAGTGACATTTGCAAAAACATCTTCTTCTCTCCAATAAGTATCACATCCGCCCTGGCCATGGTACAACTTGGTGCCAGGGGAAGCAGCAAAACTCAGATGGAAGAGGTGAGCATCAACAAATACAATTGCATCTCTAAGCGGCAAGAGGCTGCAGGCGCTGCTCCTCCTCCTCCTCCTCCTCCTCCTCCTCTTCTTCTTCTTCTTCTTCTTCTTCTTCTTCTTCTATTATTATTATTCATTGAATTTATATACCGCCCTATACCCAGAGGTCTCAGGGGGGTTCACAGAAAAGATCACTATAGTGGAACTTAATTCGTTCCGGAGGTTGGTTCTTAACCTGAAACTGTTCTTAACCTGAAGCACCACTTTAGCTAATGGGGCCTCCTGCTGCCACTGCGCCACCGCTGCACGATTTCTGTTCCCATCCTGAAGCAAAGTTCTTAACCTGAGGTACTATTTCTGGGTAGGTGGAGTCTGTAACCTGAAGCGCCTGTAACCTGAGGTACCACTGTACATATATAATCAGAATAAAAACAATACCCTCCCATCACATGTCAAGGAAATAAACAACTATCCAACTTTTAGAACACATCTGAAGGCAGTCCTGTTTAGGGAACTTTTTAATGAAGTTTTATTCTGTTTTTAATGTTCTGTTGAAAGCCGCCCAGAGTGGCTGGGGAAACCCAGCCAGATGGGCGGGGTAGAAATAATAAATTATTATTATTAACAACAACAACCCAATAACATCCCCCCACTTACCCAGGACTTGGTTTCTCTGGAATGAAGGTCAATGGGACTGAGGTGTCATTAGGATATATGGCTGGCTTTTTTTTACACAGCTTTATACAACCTGAGCATAGGATGGAGGAGCTGACAGCATTAACACTCCCACAGATCTTGCTTCCCCACTAGGTTTCCAGGGAAACCCTGAGCCACAGCTTTCGCCCCAGCACAGTGTAAGACAACTCTCTATGTCTTCAGCTTCCAGCATCAGCCAAGACTCACACATACACAGCTCTCCCTTGGCCTATTGTTCTCTATCCTAGGATGGCATGGCATTCCCATGGTGTGAGATGGGGAAAAGCCCTACATGTGTCTCTACGGCATCAGAGCTCACTCTTTAAAATGCAGGTGATGGGTACTTACCTGATAGGCTGTGGCCATTGCCTTAACAAAGGAACTTGTTCGACTAGTGTTAGCAAAGCAGAAAATTTGTAAGAAAACGAGTGTCAAAGCACTATATATTCAAAGTAGCTGTAAGAGTGATTAAAAGAAGCCATTGGTACAAACCTGTAAGCTACGTACTTCATTTTTCATATTTATTTCTTGCTTTCTTTTTAAAACAACTACCGCCACAAACCAATGTAGTAGCTGTTTCAGCAGTAACAATATTTTTTTAGCAGTTGTAGTCTCTTGTTTATTTAATCAAGGTAAGTGGGATTTTTTTGCCCCTTCCTATCCTGGATGCTTTGCATTGCTTACAGCTTGTTTCTGCTATAGGTGCTACACTTCAATAGGACTCTGGGAAGCGCAAGACCAGCTGCTTCTGAGGGGAAAATGTGTCTTCTTGCGTCAGAACCCGAGAGAGATACTGCAGCTCAGTTTTCGGTGGTATGTCCAGAACTATTCTTAAAGCCATAGGACTAAGTGGCGGGTTATTTTTTTGGTACCATCAAGACCTGTAGCCAGAAATGTGGCGAGGAAGCCAGGTCAAGCGACCCTCTACACCAATTGCACTAAGTTGGCGGTGGGTAGATATACCATCAACGCACTGGTAGAATGGCCACATCCACACCGCCTGGAAAGCAAGCAACACAGAAAACAGGAGATGAAGTAAAAATGGCAGGCAGGCCCACAGCATCCCTGGGAAATGGACCAATCAGGAACAGTGCCAGCAATCGCCGCATGTCGCCCACTTTTGGAGGGAGTCAATCACAGCCGTACCTTGGACTTCCAAAATGTTTGGAAACCAAAGCACGGCTTCTGATTGGCTGCAGGAAGCTCCTGCAGCCAATCAGACGCCGTGGAAGCCACGCTGGATGTTCGGCTTCTGAAAATCGTTTGAAAACTGGAACACTCACTTCTGGGTTTCGATCGTTCAGGAGTCGATTTGTTTGGGAGCCAAGGCGTTCGGGATTCGAGGTACGACTGTAATTCACAATGACACCCTCCCCAACACAAATCCCTTGAACCACACATGCGATGTTGCTATGGCTTCCCCAGTCCATCAGCCCCAGTGACACTGCCAGTAGTGAACTGGAAGCCCTCGAGCATCCTTCTGAACAGATTCCTTTATGCTCCTTTCAAGCACTGTTTTGAAGCACAACACACAACAGAATGGGGGGGAAAGCATATACAGCAACACACCCACATAGCTCCCTAGGCAGGAAGTCTTTAGAGTGTAAGCATATACAGCAATCCTGTGACAAGTGTTGAAGACCCACTGGGGGAGGGAGAGGCCCTTTGGCCACGCATCCAAATGGAGGGGCTGATACACGCAACAAGGCGAGCCATACACTGACTGCAGCAACCTCCAGAGGCTCACTGAAGAAGGGCAATCCCAATTTTAGAAGCTTCGGGATACCTGATTGGTAAATTGTTGCTGACGATTGGCCTCTGTCATTTTTCATTACAAGCCCTTAAAAATAATAGATAGCAATGAGCTCTTGCTCCCAAACATTTCTACATCCATTAATCTACTTGGGGTTTTTCCCCCCATTTGAAATCTTTTTCTTAATACTCTGGCTAGGAAGAAGGAATCTTTCCAGAGATCAAGAAACTTCTGTTTCAGCTGAATAATCTCAGTAACGACTATGAGCTGAACGTGGCCAACAATCTGTTCATGCAGAAGGGATATGAATTTTTAAAGGTAAGTGATTTCTCACTGTGGAAGGAAAGCCGTAGCTCAGTTGCAGAGGTGCCCACATGCATGCAAAAGGTCTCTTATACACGTCAACAGTCCTGATTTGAGCAGGATATCCCAGAATTATAATAATGAGAATATACTCTGCCCATCTGGCTGCGTTTCCCCAGCCACTCTGGGTGGCTCCCAACAGAATATTAAAAAACATGATAAAATATCAAACGTTAAAAACTTCCCTAAACAGGGCTGCCTTCAGATGTCTTCTAAAAGTCAGGTAGTTGTTTATTTCCTTGACATCTGATGGGAAGGTGTTCCACAGCGCGGGCGCCGCTACTGAGAAGGCCCTTTGCCTGGTTCCCTGTAGCTTCTCTTCTCGCAGTGAGGGAACCAATAGAAGGCCCTCGGAGCTGGACCTCAATGTCTGGGCTGAATAGTGGGGGTGGAGATATATACCCCCACTGGGCCGAGGTCATCCTGGCTTCTGATTGGATCCCAGAGTGTACATAAATGGGAAATTGTGGCTTAGTAAAAAAGAAAATGAAAGTGGACATTGTGCTGGTCCCGTGGGTTACCCGAGAGGCGAGGTCCAAGTCCGGTTCGTGGTTGAAGGTGCAACATGGAGGCAGTCTGTAGTAGCTGAAGCTGGGTGCAGGGCAGGGAGTCGGGTGAAGTCAGGAACAGGCAAGCAAGCAGGGAGCCAGGGCGGGTCAGGAGTTCTGGCAACAAAGCAGGTCAGGGTTCAGGCAGGAACTAGCAACCAACAATGTTGCTCCCACAACTTGGGACTGGGGCTGGCCGGCTTTTATCTGCCCTGAGGCATAGGGCGGCCCCGATCCTCTGGTGACTTGCCTCTCCTGGCCTGGAGGCGAGCACTCCTCCTGTGGGAACTTAGTTCCCTCCACCTCTCTGCCCTGAGCCTCTGTAGCTCAGGAGAGGCTGGAGGGTTACCGGACCCAGAGGCAACCTCAGCTTCCTCTGGCGGGGCTGAGAGTGGAGCACCTGCAGGCAATGGGTCCTCCATCACCTTAGGAGCCAGAGCAGACTCAGCTGGTGCCTGCACCTGAGGATCCAGCACAAGTGAGGACCCTTCAGGCTCATGCCCCAGCCCCGGCTCAGCTGGTTCTGGAGGCGGGGAATCCTGTGCAGGCTGAGGTCCCTCAGGTTCAGCATCCGAGTCTGAATCCCAGGCCATCACAAACGTTTTTACAGTCCTCTTGTGCATGAAGAAGGAAGAGGAGGAAAGGGAAGGTGGAAGCTCACCAAGACTTGTTGCCAATAATTTAAAATGGTTTAAATGATAGTCTTCTGAACCCAGGCTACATTCATCATTAAATCAAGGGTGGGAAACATGTAGCCTTCCAAATGTTGTTGGATTCCAGCTTCCTTCACCCCTAACAACTGTCCATACCAGTTGACGGTGATGGGAGTTGAGAGACAAGCATCATATGGAAGGCCAAAGGTGCCCCCTTAGATCCAAAAAAGCTGTTGTGACCACAAAGGAGGGGTGTTGTCAGGGACTGGGCAGAGGAGGAATGGTGGAGGCCTCCTCATCCTGACCCTTCCAGGGAGGAGGAAGAGGAAGACAGTATAGATTAACAACAGTAGTTTGAGGGAGGTCACAGCTCAGAGGCAAATGAGGGGGAAAGTTGGGAAATCATGGGAGAGCCAGAATGGCCGACTGACACATTGTCATTAGAAAGCATTCCAGACCCACCATCTCCCAGAACCCGGCGAGCCTTAAAAGTAGGAGAGCAAAGAGCTTGAAGGCAGAGGGTACTTAGTGGCACCTGTAAAGGAGGTGGTGATGCTGATGACAAATGAGGAAGTGGGAGAGATGAGGGGTGGAGATTCACTCGGGACAACGCCATTATCCAAGAGGCTGGGTTCTATGGCCTCTCTCTGTAAAGTTGAAATAAAAAAGGACTGTGAGAAACTTTCCCTTGTCTTTATACTTTCCTGGGCAACCAGCTGGGGGCCGCTGACGACATCCTGACAGGTGTATAACTAGAATTACCTTGACTATATTTTAATGGTTGGCTAAATTTTCTGTGCACTTTGCATGAGTGCTGAGTGTTTATCTGCCTCTCACTTTTGTGGCCAAATGCCCCAGAAGAGGAAGCTGCAGTCTACACTGCATATCAAGTGTTGCTCTGGTGGGGTGGATGATTCCCTTTCTGTGGGAAGGTCTCATGATTACCCAGCAAGGCACTAGGTAAGAGGTGATCAGTACCTGTATACCGTCATCTACAAATGGCTCAACTGGGGAATTCACAATATTTCTCTTTCGTTTTTAAAAACTCCACAGCAATATCTCACACGCACGAAAGAAATCTTTGGAGCTACACTGCAAATGGTCGACTTTCAAAATGCTACTGAAGAAGCAAGGCAGGAGATTAACCTTGAAGTTGCCAGGCAGACAAAGGGTAAGGAAGCTGAAGGTCACTTCCCGACGACGTGTTTATTGAGCATTCCTCCTGGGCATCCATTCTGATTTGTTTGTGGGGATGTTAGACCTTGTTGCATCATCAAGTATCGTTCCACACTTCCCAGTGAATTTACCCATCACCCCACTCAGGAATAGCAACAGCCTGGAAGCACTCAGTGTTGCAGGAATCACTGATTTGTAGCACAAAACCAAGATCACCACCTTATTTTTCTTGCAGTACCCCAGGCCTTTATTTCTTCTTCCCCTTCTTCTTCTTCTTCTTCTTCTTCTTCTTCTTCTTCTTCTCTCCTTCTCCTTCTATTTTGACAAAGTAATAATCATAAATAAATAAGAAAAAAATATACACCCCACCACTGAGACCATTCCATTGTAACTATCCAACCTCCCAAAATTTCAACACCTCTTGTGATGGTTTGACCCCTTTTCATTTTAACAGTACAAATTCTACAAACACCTTCCCTATCTCCTTGAAATAATTTCTCCTGCATATTCCCTGTCTGTCCTTAATGGCACATGTTAATTTATCATTAATAGCTATATCCCACATTTCTTTATACCACTCTTCCATTTTATATTCTGCTTCTGCTTCCCCCTTCCACTTCCTAGCTATCATAATTTGTGTAGCTGTCAATACATTTGTGAGCAAGCCTTTCCCCGGGCCTTTAACAGCATTTTGTACAGCAAGCTAAATTTTATCCAGTGAAGTTTCTCCTCTTGTGGCTCCCTAGCTCTGGGACCCTCTTCCTCTGGAGGTGCAAATGGGAGAAAACCCTACTGGACTTTCTCCATCAAGTTCTTTCAGGTGCTAGAGGTTCCTTGGGGCGTCTTTTTTTAAATAATTCATTCATGATTATGTGTACTCATGATGATATCAGGGTGGTTTTACATAACCCCAATTTTCAATACTGTTTGCACCTGCAAAGGTTTTGGGGTAGCCATACTGGGTGGTGTTCAGCGCTAGTCCTTTCCCTAAGGCAGTGTTTCTCAACCTGTGGGTCCCCAGATGTTGTTGGACTACAACTCCCATCATTCCTAACCAGCATGACCAGTGGTCAGGAATGATGGGAGTTGTAGTGTAACAACATCTGGGGACCCACAGGTTGAGAACTGCTGCCCTAAGGGAAGGCCCACTGAAGTTGTTAAACACTACTAAACTTAGGGTGGAATTCAATCTCATGCTATTACAAATGCTCCTTCTGCACCAATATGTCTGTTTGCCAGGCAGAATGATCCTGGTTCCCTTGCATGATCTTCTGGGGATTCTACAGGACTTTCCTGGGGAAGAGTGAGGGAAAGCCCCATGGCATAAGTCGAAGCCCTTGTGTCGACAGGGTTCATTAAGTGAATCCCACCTTTCAGTTCATTCATCTCAATGGTTTTGCTATGAGTTGGACTTGGTTGAATGCAACTCACGGCTTCATTCCCAATCAGTGCATGTCCTGTAACTTCCTGCTGAAATCCTGTAACTTTTCATAGCACAAATATCCTGGTTTGCTTCATATCTATATAAAAAAAAATTCCAGTTTTTTTGCTCAATAGCGTAAGACATCCCACTGGACAGCAATAATGGGGTGACACTGAGGAAGCATTGCAGGGCTACGAAAAAGGTGAAATGATGTGTAATCCACTATTAATGTATTATTACTGCATCAATGACATATTGCAGAATTCACTTGCAATGTCCCACTGCCCCAACCTAGGTAAAGGTAAAGAGACCCCTGACCATTAGGTCCAGTCATGACCGACTCTGGGGTTGCGGCGCTCATCTCACCTTATTGGCCGAGGGAGCCGGCGTACAGCTTCTGGGTCATGTGGCCAGCATGACTAAGCCGCTTCTGATGAATCAGAGAAGTGCATGGAAACGCCGTTTACCTTCCCGCTGGAGTGGTCCCTATTTATCTACTTGCACTTTGACATGCTTTCGAACTGCTAGATGGGCAGGAGCAGGGACCGAGCAACGGGAGATCACCCCATCACAGGGATTCGAACCGCCGACCTTCTGATCGGCAAGTCCTAGGCTCTGTGGTTTAACCCACAGCGCCACCCGTGTCCAACCTAGAGGAGCTCATAATGAGAGTTGCCACTGTTATTGGAGCTTTATGCTGCCGTACTAATCATTCAGTTCTTATTGTCAGTTGTATTTATTTTTGTATACTGGAAACTGCCCCGCGATAACCTCAATGTGATGGAGAGTAGTCTATAAAATAAAAATAAAAATAGAACAGTAATTGAGGGGTTGGGGGAAGTGTGATAAGCATAAGTCCTCAGTTCTGTGAATCAAAAACAATTCAGTCGCTTTTACTATGTATGCAAGGTGGTGAGGTTATACTTTTTTAAAAATCCACATTAATTCAAATTTCTTTTCTCTAAGGAAACATCAAGGACCTTTTCCCTCTGGGAACTATTCAGCCAGACACTATGTTGGTGCTGGCAAACGCCGTCTATTTTAAAGCAACTTGGGAACACCAGTTTGACCCAAAGCTCACGACAGAAAGAGAATTTAAGCTGAATGAGGTATCATGGCACAACTGAATCTATCGTTTTAGAATTGTGTGAATGTTCAATGCTGATTCAAGTATGTTACAAAATGGCGGCCCAATGGCACTCTATCAGCCTTCTCAGCTGAGAAGTAGAACAGGTCAAGGACTTGATTGGCTGGCTGGCTCAAGCCATGGATCCTGCACTTCCTTTGGCAAGAGGCCATAACTCATGCAAAAGGTCCAAGCTTCAGTCCTCAACATCTCTACATGTGTTTAGGAAAGACTTCTATCTGAAGTTCTGGAGAATGCCTGCTAGTCTGTGTAAATGCTGCTGAGCTAGATATATGTGTCAGTTTGCATTTCTTAGTGCAGAAAAGTATTGATCTGATGTGTAGAGATCTTTCCTATTCTAATTAATTCAAGAGGGTTCTGGAAGCTTATCTATGTGAAAGAAACAAGCAGAAGGTTAATGATGTTTGGGTTATTCCTTCAGAGAAGCTGAATACAGCAGGTTTCAAACGGTTCTGTTATCTCTTCTTCAAGGTCATGCTGACCATAATAAGAGGCCAGAAGGAGCCCGAGTTTCACTTTTTCTTTCCATCTCTTTTCCTTCTGATGTGGTGTTCTGTACATAGTATCCATACCGTTAAGGTTTAGACTTATTATAAGCTATTGTAAATTCAAGTGGGGCCCTAAGCTATAGCTTATTTAGCTTATACATAAATCCAGCACTGGGGGGAGTACTAAATAAATAGCAGCCCACGTGGGCATGTGAAGTGGCACATCCTCTTCTATCAGCGCGCAGCTTTATTCTGCTATATGTGTAGCTTAAGCTAAAGTCTGTATAATGCAAATGCTTTTACTCCAAGGACTCACAAGAGGGCGCTCCTCTATTACTAAACAATCTCTACAGCGACAGAGAGGACGATTACATGTGGAGATGTTTTTTTTTTAAAAAAATTGAAATAATTTTTATTTGATTTTACAAATAAAAAAAATAACAATCCAAATACATATCCATATATAGAGATTACTTGAGACTTCTCCCCATTCCATCCATGGGTCCTATTGTCAACATTTACAACTGCCATATTATTCCATATTCTATATTTTATACCTATCCATCTTTTCCATAGTGTTTGCTACAAGTCAGGTAAAAATCCTGCTAATGTTTTCATCTGCTTGCAGTGGTCTCTTAAATAAATTATGAATTTTTCCCATTTTAAAAAAAGTTTTTGCCTTCTTGGTTCCTGAGCTTTCCAGTTAGCTTTGCCATTTCGGCGTAGTCCATCAGGTTAGCTCATGTGGAGATGTTTTTAGATGTGCAATTCGTCATTATATTATGTATTTTTGCGTTTTTATATTGTAAACTGCCCTATGATCCTCAGGCGAAGGGTAGCATATACATTGAATAAATAGGTTAAACAAATAAGTAGGCTCCACGCCCAGGACCTCCATTCTACTACCAGGCTGTGTGTTGCCACAGAAATATCTTGCAAAAGGGATTTAAAATTTAAGAACACGTAGTAGAATGTTTAATCCCTCAACGCATTTTGCCGTACTTATCGTAGAAAATTTATATATCCAACCCTTTCAGAATCAGAACCTGCTTTTAATGCAGACGTGCATTTGGGGATCCTTTTTTTTTTTTTAACCATATATTTTTTACCATATATTTCCATGGGGTCTTGACCCACTAGTTGAAGATTTATATGCTTCCCCTGACTTACTGGGACTTTGATTCTTTGTTTTTAATTTTTTGTTTCGTACAGTTCTCAGTTTTATTTATGATAGACAGTCACAATTTTATCTTGTTTTTAGGAAATTTTATAGGCAGTTGTATTTAAATGTTTTCAACTAAATCATTTAGATATTTTTTATTATATTAAGTGCTACATTTTTAAAGAAATACATGGAACACCTGCAACTTATTACAGAACATTAAGCAATATTTACTACAAATGCTACAAAAATGGTCAAAAGGCATTCCTAAAAATGTCACCGGGGGGGGGGGGGGAGAGAGGCAGTGTCTTCACCAAGGAAAGGTAGCAGAAAAGAAGGCCATCTCTGGTGGACAGAAAAATGGAGCGTACACTCAATTCACTTCAAATATTCAAAGCACATCACATACGTTAGCTCAGTAACTCAACAGCAAGTCTTGATTCGGCTGTATTTGTAACCCCCTCCCCCTGCTTTGAATGCAGTATAAATATGCAACACCAGATGGCGCCAGAGAGCAAAGGAATTTTCTATATGATTTTTACATCATGTTTTTTTCTTTTGCTATAACAATTTAATTTCTGACTTATTTATAGCATTTTCCCCTGTGTGTTGACCCACCCTCTGTGACGCAGACAAGCATAGTAATCTCACCTAGCAAAATTGTGGTTGAACTGAGATTTTAATCATATATTTCCTCACAGCTCCCATTCTTAGCCAGTCCTGTCCCCTGCCAGCTACAACCACCTGAAGAATTGGCTTGTACAATGCTATCAAACAGTAGTTCAGCATTTGTGCATTCGGCTGACCCAAGAAGTGAAGTCTTCTTGCCATATTTATTGACAACCAGAGCGTGTGTGTTTCTGCTAAACCTACGTCTTTCTCTATTGCCTTTCGAAACAGAATGAAAGTAAACATGTACAGATGATGCACCAGAAAGGTCGATTTAAGCTGGGATACACAATGGAGAGGGATGCACAGATCCTTTGCCTCCCATACCATGGCAAAGTGTTGTCCATGATCATTATATTGCCAGACGACATCGGCAATTTGAAACAGGTAAGTCACAAACAAGTCACCATGTTTGAAACATAAATCACAGAGTTGCAGAATGGTTTTGACATTGTTGTTGTTTAGTCGTTTAGTCGTGTCTGACTCTTCGTGACCCCATGGACCAGAGCACGCCAGGCACTCCTTTCTTCCACTGCCTCCCGCAGTTTGGTCAGACTCATGTTTGTAGCTTCGAGAACATTGTCCAACCATCTCGTCCTCTGTCGTCCCCTTCTCCTTGTGCCCTCCATCTTTCCCAACATCAGGGCCTTTTCCAGAGATTTGCCCCCATAACTTACAGTGAATCATGTTTTGTTTTGTAAATAATTTTACAAATTTTACTAAAATCCAATATAAACCACATTATATCAATCTCAAATTACAATTCAAATTCAAATATGTATCAATTATAAAGCCAATTATAAATTTTGTGTGGCCTCCCGCGGGCTAGATTTCAAGGTGAGATCATTTTATTTTGTCCTGCTTCCAAAGTCTTAATTAGTCCTGTTACCTTCAGTCTTGATCTTGATCCCTTATCAGCAGCTACAGAGTTGCTTTTTTTACTTCCAATCATATTGGCACATTTAATAAATTTCATTTTTCTGCAAGAGGAGTTCTGTATCCCATATATTTCCTGTGTGTGATGTTCAGTGCCGGATTTACATATAAGCTAAACAAGCTATAGCTTAGGGCCCCACTCTCTTGGGGGCCCCCAAAAAATTTAAAGGCAAAAAAACCTGGATGTACATTTCCAAAATATAACATAAAAAACAAATAAAATAAAACCTACGCACAGCAACAGTGTTTTGTGTTGTGTAGGCTCCTACGATGTCAGTAGCTAGCCTGCTCCCTCAAATATCACTTATTTTCTCATTTCTATATATAGGGTGCCTACATTCTGCATGGACTGGTTGCATGACAACATGTGCAAATGGCATTAGATACCTATTGGGTCCATAAATTACCATATATATTCAACACAAAAAACAGCAGCAATTTGTTGTTTACAAAGGACAGCTGGACATATAAAGGGCCTCATGACCTTCAGTAGCTTAAAGTAAAGGCAAAGGGACCCCTGACCATTAGGTCCAGTCATGGCCGACTCTCGGGTTGCGGCACTCATCTCGCTTTATTGGCCGAGGGAGCCAGTGTACAGCTTCCGGGTCATGTGGCCAGCATGACTAAGCCACTTCTGGGGAACCAGAGCAGCGCATGGAAACGCCGTTTACCTTCCCGCCAGAGTGGTACCTATTTATCTACTTGCACTTTGAGGTGCTTTCGAACTGCTAGGTTGGCAGGAGCAGGGACCGAGCAACAGGAGCTCACCCCGTCGTGGGGATTTGAACCACCAACCTTCTGATTGGCAAGTCCTAGGCTTTGTGGTTTAACCCACAGCGCCACCCGCGTCCCTTCAGTTGCTTAGGGCCTCATTAAAACTAAATCCGGCCCTGGCGATGTTTATTTTAGCCATGTTGTTTCTTAATTCTTTTTTTTTTTGCCATACAGGTTGAAAACACCATGACCAGTGAGAATTTAGCATGCTGGACTGCCTCAGAAAACTTGACAGAGGAGAATGTCGAGGTGTATCTCCCCCAGTTCAAGCTTGAAGAGTCCTTCGACCTCAACTCGCCTTTGCAAGCCCTGGGGATGATTGATGTGTTTGACAGATCCAGAGCCGACCTTTCTGGGATGGCTGCCTCCGATCAACTATACTTATCCAAAGTGCTTCACAAAGCCTTTGTGGACGTTGACGAAGTGGGGACAAAAGCAGCCGCAGCCACAGGTGCTGTGGTCTCCAACAGATCGTTGCCATCCTATAAACTGTTTGAAGCTAATCACCCGTTCCTCTTCTGCATCCGGCACAATCCTAGCAATGCCATCCTTTTTCTTGGCAAACTCTGCTCCCCTTAAAACACAAGTCAGATTCCTTCTTTCAGCATATTGAAAAGGGCTGAAAACAAAGTGCCTTGTCCAGTGTAATATTAAGGTCTGTTTTTTATTTCTTTTGCAATAGGGGACCACTTACACCAGGGATGGGAAACTTTTGGCCTGGGAGTTGCATGTGACTCTTGATGCCTCTCTATTTTATTTTATTTTTGATAATATTTTATTTTTATTAGTTTTGAATTACAATGCAATAATAGCCTCACTTCCTGCCAACCTAGCAGTTCGAAATCACACAGTGCAAGTAGATAAATAGGTACCGCTCCGTCGGGAAGGTAAACGGCATTTCCATGCGCTGCTCTGGTTCGCCAGAAGCGGCTTAGTCCTGCTGGCCACATGACCCAGAAGCTGTATGCTGGCTCCCTCGGCCAATAAAGCGAGATGAGCGCCGCAGCCCCAGAGTCGGTCACGACTGGACCTAACAGTCAGGGGTCCCTTTACCTTTAATAGCCTCATTATAACAATACCAATTTATAAAACAATTATAAATACCAATCGTTCAAATACCAAATTGCATAATTTAGATAAAGTGGCCCCCTGTGTGCTGGATTTGATAGTTTGATTCTTTCCTTTATTTCTGCATTCCAAAATCTTATTAATTTCAGAATATCAGAATAAATGTAGTTTAACAGTGAATTTTAGATACAATGGAAAGAGAAAAGATTTGGATTATGATAAAAGATGCAGGAGGAAATGATTAACAGTAGGACCCACAATGGGGAAAAGGGAAGTTCAAGAGATTTATTGGACTCTTGTTTTTATGTTGTATGTTGGATATGTGGCTGTAAATTTTAAATCTGAAAAACCAAATAAAGTAATTAAAAAAAAAAAATCTTACTAATTTCCATTACATTCTGGTCTTAATAATAATCCCTTATACAACAACTGCAATATTAATAACTTCTATTCGTGTTGACACATTAAATGATTTACAAAACTACAAGTGAGGAACTCAAACTACAGTGGTACCTCAGGTTACATACGCTTCAGGTTACAGATTCCGCTAACCCAGAAATAGTGCTTCAGGTTAAGAACTTTGCTTCAGGATGAGAACAGAAATCGGGCTCCCGCGGCACAGCAGCAGCAGGAGGCCCCATTAGCTAAAGTGGTGCTTCAGGTTAAGAACAGTTTCAGGTTAAGTACGGACCTCCAGAACGAATTAAGTACTTAACCTGAGGTACCACTGTATATCCTTGTTCTTCCTGTGTGTGGCAATTATTCTGTCTGTGATATTTCTTCCTGTCCTTGTAAGATACGTCTTCCTTTCCCCTGGTTGTTGCTGTTGTCCATCATGCCTTGGGCAGATGGATGCCTCTCTAAATAAACATTTGTCACTCCACCCGCCTTTCCGCCTGGCTCCAACCACCACCGTCAAGTGGGCCCCTGAAAGTTTCCTAGCAAGGGACACAGCCCTGAAAAATGCTCCCCACACCTGTCTTCTCCCAAGGTTGATGTCGGCCGCCATGTTTTCAGCTAGTGCAAAGGCTCCCAACAGATGAAACATGTACAAATGGTTTTGCTATTTTTCTTCTCTTCTTTCTTTATGCTTCCACCTCCCCTTCTTTTTATTCAATGCACCCCTCCCATTGCACCCGAGGCTACAGTCCCCCTGGACCGTTCCAACACCCCCGAAAGGGCAGTATCACACACTTTTGGGAAACACTGAGTTACTATTTTACCAGCACTAACCATGTCAAGAGATTTCTCTGCCATAATGGAAAGCAGCAGCAGAGCAAGTTAGGAAGCAGACTTGCAGGGTGGGGAGAGGCGCAAGATGCTACATTAAAGCAGAAAGACCACATTCAGTAGTAAAAGCGGCTAGGAGAGGGTCTTGCTCATCTGTCTCACATCCAGCAGCTCCTAGATTGGTTCAGTCCAAGTAGGGCTGGGAAGGTTTTCTGTCTGAAACCCTGGGGAGGCGCTTCCACTCAGAGTAGACAATACTGAGGTAGATACACCAATAAGAAGGCAGCTTCTTATGCTCTTAATACTGGAAAAATAAAGGGAAGGTAGGAGCGCTCAGAAGGTCGGCAGTTCGAATCCCCGTGACAGGGTGAGCTCCCATTACTCGGCCCCAGCTCCTGCCAACCTAGCAGTTCGAAAGCATGTCAAAGTGCAAGTAGATAAATAGGTATCACTCCGGCGGGAAGGTAAACGGCGTTTCCGTGTGCTGCTCTGGTTCACCAGAAACGGCTTTGTCATGCTGGCCACATGACCTGGAAGCTGTACGCCGGCTCCCTCGGCCAGTAAAGCGAGATGAGCGCCGCAACCCCAGAGTTGTCCACAACTGGGAGCCAGTGTGGTGTAGTGGTTAAGAGCAGTAGTCTCGTAATCTGGGGAACCGGGTTCGTGTCTCCGCTCCTCCACATGCAGCTGCTGGGTGACCTTGGGCCAGTCACACTTCTTTGAAGTCTCTCAGCCCCACTCACCTCACAGAGTGTTTGTTGTGGGGGACGAAGGGAAAGGAGATTGTTAGCTGCTTTGAGACTCCTTAGGGTAGTGATAAAGTGGGATATCAAATCCAAACTCTTCCTCTTCTTCTAACAGTCAGGGGTCATTTTACTTAGGAGCACTCCCAAACAAACACGAAAGAGTGCAAATTAGCAATGATCACCAGGGGGAGCACTTTACACACAGAACATAAAGAACCGAGCCCTACCTTTGGCCTCAGCAAACAGGCGGCTAGAAATTTTAATGCACAATTTGTCTTTCAGCCCCTCAAATGAGGCTTGGCAGGCATGTATTGTGGCTCGCTAGTCTGAGGCATGTCGGGCTTCCTGTTGAGCTGTCATTTAGGGCTAGTGGCAGGGCTTTTTTCCCATCAGGAACTTACCAGGATTCACTTCCAATGGCACCTCTCAGGTGGGTGCCATTGCCATTCTAAGTGAATAAGGGAGGCATGTATGGTGAGTTCCTGAACCTCTTTTTCTAGAAAAAGTAGCACTGCTTAAGGCCAGTCTTCTACTGACATTTAAACTAGCATTTGGTGTATCACAAGCAACTGAGTAGGTAATGGTAAAGGTAAAGGGACCCCTGACCATTAGGTCCAGTCGTGGCCGACTCTGGGGTTGCGGCGCTCATCTCACTTTACTGGCTGAGGGAGCTGGCGTATAGCTTCCGGGTCACTTTGACGTGCTTTCGAACTGCTAGGTTGGCAGGAGCAGGGACCGAGCAACGGGAACTCACCCTGTTGCGGGGATTCGAACCGCCAACCTTCTGATCGGCAAGTCCTAGGCTCTGTGGTTTAACCCACAGCTCCACTGAGTAGGGGTGCTTGCAAATGAACATTTTATGCTGTCCTATCCTGCCTCCCTGAATAAGCTCCCCCTCATTGGAAAAAGGAGGACAACTGAGTCCCCGTGAGTAGACTGATTGAATCTGGAATCTGCCCCCCTTGCCACGTTGAGAGGTTCTGATGTTCGACTGAGTCAACCAAGGGCCTCAATTAATTTTCCACACGAGCAGCTTTTTGCTTGCTCAGACCTCGCCCCCACGGAAAACAGAGCATCATTGCAGTGAGATAAGGGCTGGAAACTGAAGTTAGCACAAATGGTAATTGGAATAAGATGCATATTTTTAAGGCATTTTGAAACTGGCTGAATTAGCATCTTGTTTTAGCTGAAGGTGGAAATAAAAGCACGCTGAAGTGATAAGGTCATAAGATGATCTGTGATTCTTTTTTCTTTTTTTACAGCATGTATTGGAAAATAATTGTTCCCTTTACAATTAAGGACAATTTTTAGTATCAGGAGACACAGGGGTCTCGTTTTGCTGCCTGAGGTGAAATGGGAATGTGTGCATTGATTCAAGTACAAGCTGACACACCTCATTTGCCATTATTCCCTTTATCACTGGTGCTAAAAGTCTGCTACTCCACATCCTACAAGGGAGGAAAAGCAGAATAGCTCTTTTGCATCGCATGAGAACATTAGACCTGATCATCAAGCACGGTGAGAGACAGGCCCATAAGGAGGGATGGTTCAAGGGTCCTTGCTTTTCTATAGGAGAGAGAGCAGATTGATTGCATGAAAATAATTGACACCAAGTAAATTAGCTAAAATGTATAAATCTGAATCAGATATCTGCTGGAAATGCAAAGAAAAAGAAGGTACATTCTATCACATATGGTGGACATGCAAAAAGGTTAAGACTTACTGGGAGATGATATATAGTGAGTTGAAAAAAAATGTTCTAAAAATCTTTTGTTAAAAGCACATAAGCTTTTCTTTTAGGTATAATAGATGAAGGTGTACTGGATACAGAATTACTAAGCTATTTTCTGCTTAGTTTTGAATTCTGAATCAATCCAGGGGTATGTGTGAGAGAGAGATTTGCCCTTCACTTATTTTTAAAAAGAGAAGTTATTGTATCCTCCTGCATTAGGTACAGCTGGAAAATGTGCTGTGTTACCGGAGCTCTTTTGAAATCTGTGTAATCAAAGGAAGAATTGCAACATCACCACCAGTTGCGTGTGGCCATGGGTTACTTAAAATACATTCAGAAGCATCATTATCATGGACTAATTTGATCCTGATACTGTCTGCAACTGCTTGAACATTAAGTATGTCTAAACTGACTCTTAGATGCAATCTTTATTACCTATTATAATGATCTTGTTTTCAAGGAGAGGTGACTTATCTGGTTATTTTACCAGCTGAAAATGTCTGAAGTATGCATTTATTTTTTAAAAAGGATTGTAGGGCAATGACATTTTCCTAGCATTCATTTCCCCTGCTTTATTAAGCTATTTTTATTAAAGCTTGAAAAATATATATACAGAAATCAACATCAAATATCAAGCATATTTTTACATGAAAAGTAAAGAAAAGAAAAGACTCCCAATTCTCCAACTATCAGCTTAAAAAACTTATACAAAACTCTTTCTTCATAATAACATCCAACTCTTCTACTTTCCTTAAACCAACCTTTTGTTCAGTCTTCAAAGCCAGATATCAGAAGCTCATTTT